AATACATCGCGCTCAAATTCCTTGGGACAGTTAATCGTGCTGTGCCCTTTCAATATTCAGTATTAATCTCTTTGTAGCTCCATCAGAAACTGTATCGCTAATGGTAATGAGGCAAATATTGTAAACAAAGATTCTCCTAAAAGTAAAGATAAACTCTGCTCTCAAGCCTAGTGGCCCCTTATGTGGCGGCTCATCTCCGGTTTTAGTAGCATGAAACGACTAGGAGCCGTAATCCCCCCCCCCCCTCCCCCTACCCGGGATGGGACGCTACGCTAACAAACGCATGTTTATCAAACTGTACTTGCCGGTAATTAAATGTATCCACAGCAACTGACAGATGTCTTGGAGATGACGGGCAGCTGTATTTGTTGCGATCATTTTCAGGCATTAGGTCCACATCGTGAAATATGAAGCATTTGTAATTGTTAAATCTGAGAGCTTCTTTGAAGCCAATATTTAACAGCATGCCACGATTAAAACTGGTGTCCCCTGACTGTTGAAAAAGAACGAGCGAATAAATACAAGAACGATAATGGAGGGCGTGTGAGGTCTTTCAACCTTTTCAGAATGCATTTAATACCCATTTAAGTGGTATGATCACGTAACTTGTTTCAGCCTGTAAGATCGATCACGGGATTGATACTCGGGGGTTATAATGGCAGTATATGCATACCCAGCTTCTCAAGTTATACCATTCCTGTTTTGCAGTAAGAGGAAAAAATGAAACGAAGTGCTGACACCCTAGTGGCCAATCGGCGCGAATCTCTGGTCTCTGAAGCCCGCAAGGTTATTTCTTCTTGGCTTACTACGTCAATAACTCAGTTTTTAAAGTCAATTCTGCGAATTTCGTGGTTTGAGATAAAATATTTCCTGGCTGATTTCTTTCTTTATATTATTCGGCACCAGACCTGTCGAAAATGCATGCATGGATATCGTTGGGTGAAATCCTTTGATTCTTGATCAACCTTCGAAATTATCATGCTATATACCAGTTATGCAATGCTTTCGAGTTGTATACCATGGAATATCCCACGAGTCACTTGTATTTTCTCGGTATACACACGAACCTTAAGGCCAGTGTGTATACCGAGAAAATACGAGTGACAAGTGGGACATTCCATGGTATACCGCGAGAGAGCGTTGCGTAACTATTTTATACCATCCCATAGAAAACACTGTGGCCAACACAATCAGTGAGCCATACAAGCGGCGCATGATGGGTGTAATACTTAACAATTAGACCCATGAGGCGAAGCCGAATGGGCTATTGACCCGTGGCCCTTGAGGGCGAAGGGTCTAATTGTTTTAGTNATTTGCATTAGTCCACTAGTTAGCTGATACTTTTGTCGAATAGACAACGGCTTTCCCGCATTCTGACCGGCTGTCTTTTCTATGGAATGGTATAGATAATAATATGAAACGCATATATAGCATTAAGATACCTGCTCTATTACAAAGATTCTGTAATCCAGATTTTGTCTCTTGAGTATAGGGTGCATATGTCGCACAAAGATGGACAGCTGTTGGAAACGGTTGCGGTATGGAATTATCAGGGCCATCTGTTGGGATTGAATTCAAATCAAACAAACTAGCATTAAAGAGACTAAAATAGATCTTACATTTTTTCGTAACGACATTGGTGCTGGGTGAAATTTGTCGAGCTGGACACCAGTAATATATCAAACACGAAAGACCGTGTTGGAAAACATTTCCAAACACCGAGAAGAGAGTTAAAAATACGAGGCATGGCGGAGTATTTTTTTGACGAACTTCGACGTGTTTGGATATGTTTTTTAAAAACACTCCTGAGTGTTTGATATATCTTCTCAATCGAAAGCAAACCAAAGGAGAAAACGGAGTAATAAAATCGCAAAAATCTATGTAAATTAAGATCAGATATCCAAACACCGCCATGGTCATGACTTCCTTTGTTTAAACTTGACGCATTATCAATGAGTTTGAGAAAGAACGATGAAACATTCTACTGTACATCCCACACTTGTCGCAGCAATTCCGAGGATTACTTCGATATGCAAACGAAACTCAACCTTAATCATTAAACTAAAACCTTACCTTAACCCTCGCTTTACATTCAGTTGGTTTCCATTGGCCTCCCTTGTCGACCCAACCTCGAAAATCCCTGGACATTTTCCTTTCAGTGTCTTCCATTTTAGGAACTGATTTGTCTACGCGTAAGCGTCCCACTGACAAGTAAAATTATTACAAACATAATTTAAGGTGTAAATTATTGAGATGTTTTCTAAACAGCAAACGTAATAGTAATATAAGTAATCAATGTCGTTAAAAAAATTTGTAGCCTTCGATTTTACATGTCAGCTCACGTTACTGATCAGTTCAGTTTCAGTACGATTTTTAGTTACTATAGTAACGCTGTAGGTCAATAGTAGTACCTCGAAGCGAACAGCAATAAGCCATTGCTAGTTGCCTTTTGCCTCTAGTGTCAAATCGAGTCTTCGTGTGCAACCATTCATATGAAAATGTGTTCCGCCCACAGTTTCATTTTCATGTAAATCAAACCCACTTTCATTAGGAAGGTCTTGTACGAAGACTCGTTTTGAAACAGAGGCACAAGGTAATTGGGAAATGGTCTATTTAATCTTATGTCGACATGCAACGTAGCCAAGCAATAACGTCGACGACCACAACAGCAAGTTTGGTGTTGAAAATATTATGAGATGTATATTAACAGATTCAAAACAAGCTGGATAACGACTTGGAAATGATACTTACTCAATATTAGTTCGACTGAGAGCTGCTGATATTAAGTATATTAATACTGCTCCCGTGAATTCAGTGTATATAAAATGTCGGCCAAAAAACTACAACAGAATTCTTCCAAACTCCTAACTCTTAAACGCAGAGACATGATATAATCAAAAACTGAAAAACACGGAACTTACCAAGAGCTGGGGATTTTGGTGGACACAAGCCTTTGATGTATTTGCGTCGATTCTCAGTTGCTAAGTCATAATTAGGTATACGTACATTTATATTTGATCTATTTTGGTGATTGTTTTGTTCTCGCTGATCTCGATTTCTTCCCACTGATTCTGCTGTTGAGTGATATGTCAATTCATTGCTCCATCTTTGGTCTTTCGATCCAGAGAAGGACATTTCTTGAAGGTGACTATTCCATTGTGTATCATTGATTAACAAAACGACCGGCGCTCTTCCAGATTTCATGTATCTTGCAATATTGACGGTGTAGGAAAACATCGCGATAAGAGATGCCAAAGCGACAAAGAATATGCAAAGCATGAGTGTTTTCAACTCCCTTAACTTTGCCATTCTTCTGTCCAACGAAAAGACACCTTTTGAGGTGTCTCAGGACCTTAGCTGTGGCCATGCAAAGACATTTCGTCTTAGCAAACCTAGAATAAACCCATATCAATATTTCGTGGAGATAATTTTCTCTAGTGTCTCCTATTGTGTGACAGTTTAACGCGTATTGAGTCACTAATGCTACTGCATAAGAATAAAACTTTCGTCGGACATGATAACGAAATTGAAAGAATAGGAGCTCAGGAGAATGCCTTAAGAGAACCCATAACTCTTATGGTCTTAGACTTTCTTGTTACAAAAGATTTGGAAATTGAGTGTTTGCCCAACAATATCTTTAAGAAAGAGTGCAAATGCCACCGTCTGAATAATCAAACTTTATTTTGCTGCTACTATGTTTTATTTTGTTGTTTGATTTTGTTGCTACATAAGTTTGAAGGTGGTGTATATGTATGTTGTAATGTAGTGTATGTAGGGCTAGCCTAACTGAATTAATTCGCTATGTTCCCATTTACTTGACCATGGAGGTGTCCAGCTTTAGTCACGTCGAATTTTTTTTTTCATGGCTTAATATATTTTTTTAAATTTTTATTACTATCATTCATTTACTATTTAAAATGTATGCAAATGCACTTTATAAATGGAATGAAATGAAAAAGTGAATTATATTACATCTAAAATAAAAATGATAGAAAATCGTTCAAATAATATGGTCGATAACAGCCCACTAAAGGCGAATTGTAACTGCAGTTTCACTCGTGTTAAACTCAGCGCTTGATCAACGGCACAAAACGATTCCAAACCGTAACTTCATTTTAATCGAAATTGAGAAACGTTCGCTATTTTCTTACCATTACTTTATATTTTTTGTCTCCTTTTTTTTTTGTTTTGCTATGTATATTGCCATACTGTAGGCTTAAAATTACCTGCCAGGTTTTACTTCAATGTGGTGATCCCTACGATTGTTCTAATAATAATAATAATAATAATAATAATAATAATAATGATGATGATGATGATACTGATACTGATACTGATACTGATACTAATAATAAATAATATTTATGAAGGAAGCTCCCTTCACATTGCGTGGTAAAAAATAAAAACTAATCACGATCAAACCCAAGTACTAATAACAAATGAAAGTAAACTTGAAAATCACTTTTAAAATTTAAACCTATCAAGTAACGACGTTCTAAAAAATTAAAAGGAAGCTTTTTTATGTCTATAGGCAGGGCATTCCAATCGGGTAAAGCACTATTTACTGATCTGAGCAAACCCCTGTTACTACCTGATTTAATGGATCGAATAGTGTCTTTTGAGCGAGTGTTATGACTATGGTAATCTACACCTCACATAATCATATTGTTTCTGTCGTTTAGTTCTCAGTACACGTATATCAAAGGGTACTCGGAATAAGATTAGTTCTATTTCAGAAATTCCATACAAAGATGCCAATCGTATTTAACTTTTATCGTCTGTTTGTAACTTAATTGACACCTGCTATATTCCGTCCCTTCGAAGCTTTCAAATAATATTTTCCACAAAATTAATCATTTCTTTAAAACTAATCAGATTTAAGCATAAATCTTTATTTTTTTTCTTACAATACATCTAGGTATTGTCTTTCCGTAACTTACATTGACATCTGCTACAGTTTGCAACTGCTAAGCTTTCAAATACTATGTTCGATAAAATTAGTAACACCCATCTTACCGATAAGAGACGACTTTCTGGCAGGTGGAAAACCGTGGAAGTCAAATCATAGTAGCTGAATATCCTCAGATAATATACATTGCGAATCATATAGAATTTCAGCAATCTGTGTCAACTGAATGGCAGTAGTTTGACGTGTTGTCTAGCTGTAACTGTAGAATAATTGTCTGACTCCATTGCGAATATCATTCATTCTCCAAAGGTAAAGACCTGGGTTTAGTGAAGGGGACAACAATAAAACCACCATTGTCACCCTATCAACCACAAATATTTCCGAGCTAAACTTAAGACTAATATAAACCCCACTAGAGACAACATAGGGTAAAAAACAAAACGAAAATAGTAGGAGAATATAGATGATCGTGGCAAAAGATTTCTTGTACTTCGCCAGGTCGATTGCTTGTCGCCCAAAATTTTGGGATGCTTCGTCCGCTTGGACTAGCTGTTGGTGATGACGGATAATGCGGTAAACTTTAAAGTAGGCAAATGACATGGTCAGATAGCAAATGAGAATTATTGCTACAATGGCAATACTCATTTTATTTCCATACTTCTGGCTTTTAGTTGACAAAACACGAAAAACGACCGCAGGAATCGGTGTCAGTAATAGTAAAATCACCGCCAAATACTGCCCACCACGTGATGTGACGAAAGATCGTCGAGACATGTACAGCCATCGTTCAATGGACAGGATTGTTAGAAGAAGAATTGTGCAACCAATGAAGTAGAGGGCACTGCACGCACCGATTGTCCTCAGAGTCAAAGCAAGCTTTAACCTATGGCAATTTGCCTCTTGGGTTGCAAAGTACGTAAAATAGGCGGCGGCAAAGAAAGGCTGGGAGATGAGTCCCGTACACAAATCTGTGAGCGCTAATCCGCCTAGAAGAACGTGGAACGATGATCTCACAAATGTCCTCTTCCAAATTACCACCAAAATCAAG